AAAATTAAAATACCTTCTTGGGGAAATGTCACTCCAAGGCTGAAGAACGATAAGCGTATGCAAACCTCTGTATTTTTCAGTCATACCCCTCTGATCACAGAATCACAGAATGGTTTGGGTTGGAAGGGCCCTCACAGACCATCCAGTTCCAACCCCCCTGCCATGGGCAGGGACCCCTTCCACTAGACCAGGTTGCTCCAAGCCTCATCCAGCCTGGCCTTGAGCACTTCCAGGGATGGGGCATCCACAGCTGCTCTGGGCAACCTGTCCCAGTGCCTCACCACCCTCTCCGGGAAGAACTTCTTCCTGATATCTAATCTAACCCTCCCCACTTTCAATTTAACCCCGTTACCCCTTGGCCTGTCACTCCAGACCCTTGTAAAAAGCCCCCCCCAGCTTCCTTGTAGCCCCTCCAGGTACTGGAAGGTGCTATAAGGTCTCCCCGGAGCCTTCTCTTCTCCAGGCTGAACAAGCCCAACTCTCTCAGCCTGTCCCCATAGCAGAGGGGCTCCAGCCCTCTGAGCATCTTTGTGCCCCCCACTCGACTCACTCCAACCAGTCTATATCCTTCTGATGTTGAGGGCTCCACAGCTGGATGCAGCACTCCAGGTGATCTCTCTCCATACCTACGTCTGTCTGTGTGCGCCACGCAGGAGGTTCACACGGAACCCGGTGCTGCTCCCTGTTGGCCCATCTCAGCAATGCCAGTCACTCAGTGACTCTCCCATTTTCTTAAAATTCCATCACGCGTCTTCCGCCCCAGAAGATGTTTTCCCTCGCACAGGAGACAGAAGACACAGCGGCAGCTGCAGAGACTCCCTAGCTGCGGAGAAGGTGTGGACGCTTGTTAAGGCGAAGGGATCGCCGCTGCAGAAACAAGGCTTGGTGCAGAATGCGCCCAGGCGCAACGTCCGCGGTGATGGTGTTCAGATTGGCACTCCCACAGACGCAGGCTTAGCAGCTCCTCAGCCTTCCCGCTCCCTCGTCTTCTGGTGGGGACTGAGAATTCTTAGCCTGGCGAAGATCCATTCCCGGAAGGCTGGGATAAGCAGCTATAAACACATACAGGAAGGGCCATGTGATTCCAGTGTCTGTCTTTCGCCCACAACGTCAGTCTGCTGTCAGCGGAGTCTTGACAAGGCTGTAACAGCGCACGTAGGGAGGAGCAGGAGAGAGTTGTGCTTTGGTTCCTTAAACCATCCTTCTGTTTCAGTTTCGCCTGAGCCCCGTTTGCCTTGCCAGCAGAAAGGCCTTTTATTAATAGTTACAGTTCGGGCCGTTTTAAGGCTGGGCTGCCAAAAGCAAACGGTTTGAATTTTGATGTGGCTCTGAGTTCAACTTTGGTCCTTTTTTTTTCCCCCTTTCTCTGCTGATTAATTTCAGCTTATATTCCTAAGGATCTTCTTAGGGCGTATTACAGTACTTGTCACCGGACTTCATCTGATTTTAAGCTTTAGGTGGATCCTCTTTCTGGCCAGCTGATTAACATTTAAATGTTTCTGCAGTTTGTCATACAGGAGCAAGAAGGTCCCTATTCCGGCTGACTAAGCCTAGCCATATACGGCTCCAACAGGGAACGCAAGCACCGCAAGGAAGTCCTGGGAAGTTTGTCCTGGGAAGTGTGGACAAGCTCACGTGTGCCCAGTTCCCGTCCCGGGGCCCTTGAGCCAGGCTGGTCACGTGAGTACCTGGCTGCGTAAAGCGCCCAAGGTGCAGTGCACGTACGGGTATCCGGTTAAACGCGGCCGTGTGTCTCCACTGATGATCAGTCACGCGTCTCACCCGCGGGATCAGCGATTCTCCTGAACAGCTGCAGGGTATTTGTCACGGCTGTTGCATGGACGGACCCAAACTTTCCTGGCATCGGCATCTTCCACAGGGAAGTATTTTACAAGGGAAGTATTGCTGCTGCAAAATTCCCCGGTTTCAATTGCAAGTGTGTGTGTGTCCCCGTTTACATTTCAGTGAGTCCCCGGAATGGGCTGATGGCCCAACAGTTGTTCTTTAAGGCATCGCTGCTCTACGTTCATGGGTTTAAACTGAAAGTGGGGAGGTTTAGATTAGACATCAGGAAGAAATTCTTCCTGGAGAGGGTGGGGAGGCAGTGGAACAGGTTGCCCAGAGAAGCTGTGGATGCCCCATCCCTGGAAGTGTCCAAGGCCAGGCTGGATGAGGCTTGGAGCAACCTGGTCTAGTGGAAGGTGTCCCTGCCCATGGCAGGGGGGTTGGAACTAGATGGTCTGTAAGGGCCCTTCCCACCCAAACCATTCTGTGATTCTATGAAGGCTTCCTTTCTCCAAAGCCATCATCTTTTCCAGTAATCACTTCTTCCTAACTTGGCAACAAACACCTGAAGTGACTACCCCCTGCCCCTGAGCACCTGGATTTTATTTCAGCCCAGGCAGACGAGCAAAGTAGCCGACACAGCCAGAGCTGATTGAAAGTACAAAGAGGGCTGATGGTGGGTCTGTGACCTTTTGCACAGAGAAGCAGGAGGAAAGGGAGAAATGGAGATGTCCTTTTAAAGGGGAGACCACGTGTCCTTCAAATTCCCGGACAGGCTAAGAGAAGCACAGGAGCTGGTAACACTCAGCCCACAACCGCGGATACCCAAGGCACCTCAGCAAACTTGCATCCTCACTTCACAAGATAAAAATCAGTGTCTTTCGTTTCAGACACCACCACAAACAGGCAAAAAAAAAAAAAAAGGCACTACTTCATTTTAGGCAAAAGCTTTATTTTCAGTTATAGGCTTGTTCGTATTAAAAACAATTACTTCAAAATCCAATTCACATAAAACTCAGCATGTAAATAAACTGAAGGTGTCACCGACCAAGATGCGTTTCCCACAGACAAGTGGTCTGAACTGCATTCTAACAGCCTCGCGTGGCGACAGAGAGCACTGGAACAGCAGCAGCACCCCCTCGTCGGCAGGCCGCGGCCGTACCCCCTCCCACCCCCCCGGCACGTTACGAGACCGGCTGCCAACCAGCGCAGCTACCAGAGCGCTCCATCTCCCGCTGACCCGCTGTGCAACCACCGAAGGAAGCATCCCAGTTTCATCTGCTCTGGCACAGGAGGAGGGGCGCTTCAGTGTTGTCACAGGCACCACCTTTTTTTTACCCCAAAATCAAAGCACCCGCCTTAAAAACATTCTCCTTACGACACCAACATACAGAGTTTGAGGAGACGGTCACAAGTTACATTATTTACACTTCAAATGTACAATTAGCTTCAAAAATGCCTGCGTCCAAAATAGAGGCTTCTTTTCATTTTAAAAAAATCACGCGCTAGGTTTTTATTACACAAACGTTTGAAAAGAACTGAAAACGACTGACTAATAGCAACATTCTGATTTATCAGGAACCTGCCTGCCAGCAAGCGCAGAGGTACCTGCAGGCCCTTCCCCACTGTATTTAGGATTCTAAGAAGCCTTTTCGGACAACTTGTGCTCTAAACCCCACGTACGAAGCATGTGAAAAGCTCTCGCTCGTGATGACAGATAAAAGCTAGTTAATTAACGCATGATTATTTCAGTAAAATATAAAATTACGCTACTTAGGAAGTAAACACTGAAGGGACATCTGATTTACAGCCAGTTAGACACAGCTAGTGACTAGAACACATACATTAGTTAAAAAGTCAAATATGTACAAAAATATATTAGAAAGTGGTCAAGTTGAACCACAGGCTCATGTAAAAAAATGTTGTTTTAAATAGCAATAGCAAAAAAATAGCTTGTTTTCTCTATCTGCAACAGTACAAAAGGCAAAACCTACGTATGAGGTAGCAATGCCAAATTAAACACCAACAACTTTGGATCGAGGAGCACGTCCTGAACTTTCGTAGCTTATTTGTCAATACAAACATTTAAATGGACAATTCCGTCATTTCAAGAATCAATACATTTACAAAAACCTTTAATTCAATGAAGATTTCTTTTTTTTTTTTTTAATTACTGGAAATGGCTTTAGTCACTGATCTCTCCCATTTCTAAAAAAGCTATCGCAGTTTCAAACCCAAACACTGTACAGCGGAGACGCGGAGGCTTTATTATACACACTCGGCAAACGCTATGGTACATTCCGACGTAATTTACAAAGAGCAGAGTAAGCCAACTGTGCTGATTTTACTCCTTTCTGCCAACGGCCTTTTGCTACCCCCTGCCCAATGCTCAGTGCGGGATCAGGGGTCACTACTCACTTCCACAGCTCTGCCCACAGCTGAACCAAGTGGTTGTGCCATCTACCTCCAGGAGTCTGAGCCAGAAGCACGGCTTCGCTAGGGTCAGGGGCTTGCAGTCCCCCTTGGTCCGTGCTGGAGCCCCCTCAAAAGTGTGGGAATGGGATGGGATGGGAAAGCCGCGTCCCTTCACTTCTCCCCATCCCAGCCCTTCTGGCAGGCAGAGGGCAGGAGCAGCCACCTGACCAAAAAATGCCATTAATGGAAAGCCAGGAGGGGGACAACCAGCACGGCCAGCGGCGTGGGCTGCTCATGGGGGTCAACTCCTCTGCTTCCAGCTCCACGGACCAGAAAGACCCCACAACTAAGGCAACTCATCCAATTCAGGCAACTAAGTCAGACACCTGGAGTTAGAGGGCACAAGTAACACCGAAACATTAACTGGATGCAATTTCTGTATTTACTGTATTAAGAAAATAATATATTTTACATCACAGTGCTTAATTAAATGCAATAAAAAATGTAAACTCAGGATCCTAGATAAAATTTAACTTGAAAAATTAGGGCTCCAAGACTTTTTAAAATTCACAATTTTTTAAAAAAATTGAAGTCACAGACAGTCAGTTCACATCACTCACATATCTGAGATTACTTGTAAAGACCTGTTGATGCACTCCACCCACTGTTGGTCACTTCTTTTTTTTTTTTAAAAAAAAGCCTAAATAACAAATAGACCAAGTGCAAAGGTAAGAGGTATATTTTTATTTGCAATAAAACTAAGTTTAGAAGTAATTTGCAAATCGGGAATCTGGAGTGCTTTAGTAGATGTAAGGAAAGATGCGGTACGGTACACGCTGACAATACCTTTCCCACGCCAGGCCGTATTTTTGCTTACAGTGATGTTCATCACGAGCTTCTCGATGGACAAGCAAACAGATGAAATAGATCACGTAGAAATATGGCAAAATGTGAGTAAAACCTGGAAAATAAAGTGAGAAACATGCTTTACATACAGGAAAAAAACCACCAAACAACAGCAATGTTAGCTATTCACAACACATACTAAGCTGGTGACATATCCCTGTTATGGACTCAAGCATCTTACACTTCTATTGTAAATGATCAAATACGGGATAATGCAAAGACTGAGAGACACATTTACATGCAGAGAGTAAAAGACCCACAAAACCCCAAAAAATAATCTTTAAAATTCAGTCTCAAAATGTACCTACTCCACTCTCAATGCACACAAGCCCCGCAGGGTTCCCTCTGTTTTGGCTGTAGATGGTCACTCTGGCTTTGCTCAGAGCACACGACTTGTGGATGAAAAGCTGGACCTGAGCCAGAAAGCCAACTGGACCCTGGGCTGTATCCAGAGCAGCATGGCCAGCAGGTCGAGGGAGGGGATTCTGCCCCTCTGCTTCGCTCTTCTGAGATCCCACCTGGAGTGCTGTGTCCAGCTGTGGAGGCCTCAGTACAGGAAAGACATGGACCAGTTGGAGCGAGTCCAGAGGAGGCCACAAAGATGCTCAGAGGGCTGGAGCCCCTCTGCTATGGGGACAGGCTGCGAGAGTTGGGCTTGTTCAGCCTGGAGAAGAGAAGGCTCCGGGGAGACCTTATTGAACCTTCCAGTACCTGAAGGGGCTACAAGGAAGCTGGGGGGGACTTTTTACAAGGGACTGCAGTGACAGGACAAGGGGTAACGGGTTTAAATTGAAAATGGGGAGGTTTAGATTGGATATCAGGAAGAAGGTCTTCCTGGAGAGGGTGGTGAGGCACTGGAACAGGTTGCCCAGAGAAGCTGTGGATGCCCCATCCCTGGAAGTGTTCAAGGCCAGGCTGGATGGGGCTCTGAGCAACCTGATCATGTCCCTCATTTTCATGGGGGGGAAATCCTCTTCCAGGATACTGTCTACAAGTGGACATGCTAACCTAGTATTGCCTATTTTCAATTAAAATCCAAAACATTAACCCCCCAAGGAACACCTAAACTCCAGCATCCCCTCAGCTGATGCCCTGGTCAGGGCCTTGACCCCTTGGGGACAAAGTCCCCACATCCCACAAAAGCCAGACTGTGCCATGGGGCACGGAGCAGAGGAACACCCGTCACGCTCATTCTGTGCTGTTGTAGAAGAGAAATCCCTTCAGGCAAGGGAGAAGGCAAAGCCACTTGTCAGACTTGAATGAGAAGGGGGCAGGCTACCAGGATCCCATACATTTTCTGAAACCCTCACAGCTCTTTCCAAGCTCTTGCAAAGAATCAGGACTATAAAACCCCATTGGACAAAACACTCTCAAATTTCTTCCAAGTGTAAACTTCATGAAAACTAGGAAGCACTCATGAACAAAAACTATGAAACAATTCTACTCCCTTGGTTTCATGACTTTTTTCTTTTAAGCAAAATTAGTTTTTGAAGTCCCTCCCTACATGCAGTAGCCCTTGTCCCCAGGCACACTCCCACTTTTTGAGCTCTCCCTCTGAAAACACTATACCACAGCCACAAGGCCTAGAAAAAAGCAAGGAGCAACTTTGCAGCAAGCAAGCCCCAACATTACTGAATGACAAAGTGTCAGAAGAGTAAAATCTATAGTATAAGTCAAATCTATAGTAAGATATAAAGGATAAGGTGTAAGAGAAAACAGGTGTCGAATTAAGCTTACTACACAGAAACTTTCCATTCAATTAATTATAGGTTTTAGTATCTCAAATAATTATCACTTTGCATTTCAAAGCCAGTCAGATGCCAAAACATAACAGCATTTTTCATAAAATCCACTTCAGTTTCAGAAACTTACCACAGGGTAGAGACCATGCTAAAGCCATGATGATATCACCAAGATAATTAGGGTGACGAACGAAGCCCCACCATCCCGTGACAAGAAGCCCTTTTCCAGTGGCAGTGGGTATAAATTTCAGAACTGTGAATAGAGTATTGTAATCAATACAACAACTGTGATGTGTGTTTAACAAAGAGACATTGTACAGCAACTGAACAAATGAAAAAAGTGCACTTACAGGCCAATTTGGGATCTGCTGGATTCCTTCGGAAATTATTTTTCTGAGAATTTGCACTACGGAATATGTAATATCCAACACCTGAAAATAAATATTATTTATTTGCATTTTCAGTATTTTCCAGTTTACTTTCCTTCAACAAAGCCCTCTCATGCTCTCTGCCCCTCCTATTACACCAAAGACTTCTCCTCAGAGACAGTAACTGGTATCGTCCAGTTCTCAGCACTCAGAAATCATAGAATCACAGAAGGGTTTGGGTTGGAAGGCCCCTCACAGACCATCCAGTTCCACCCCCCCTACCATGGGCAGGGACCCCTTCCACTAGACCAGGTTGCTCAAAGCCTCATCCAGCCTGGCCTTGAACACTTCCAGGGATGGGGCATCCACAGCTTCTCTGGGCAACCTGTTCCAGTGCCTCACCCCCCTCTCTGGGAAGAACTTCTTCCTGACATCTAATCTAAACCTCCCCATTTTCAATTTAAACCCATTACCCCTTGTCCTGTCACTACAGGCCCTGGAAATACTACTGGAAACACATGTTCCATTTGCTCTTACACATTACTAACTTCTAAGCCTTTGGAAAAGTTTTACTTTCACATCAACTTTTACATTTACATCTGAAATAGTTTATTAATGTAACATTGAGTTTGAAATTGATGTAAGGTTTGTGAGATTATAGCTCCATCAGCAGCCCAGTATTTTGCTACAGCGCCTACTGTCAACTGACCAGCTCTTTACAAGTTCACAATATTATAAGAACCAGACAATGAAGTGTTATCTGGTTTTGAAATTCCACACCTCACCCCATCGTTTTTACAAGGCAGCTTAAATTTACTTGTTCTGAGGCTGTATTGAAAAAACATAATCACAACTTACTTCAAATAAAGATGTTTGAAAAACAAACCATAAGTTAAGAAAAAATATTAACTGAAAATTAAAAAAGAGGTTGTATTTCTTGGGATTACATATACTGAATTGCACACCTTCAAATTCTTTCCAAGCATCTCAATTCTCTTTGCAGTTATCTACGGAATACTTTTCCTTTTAGGTTTACTACTTAGATAAAAGGGACAAACTAAAAGCCATGTTGGTGCAAATTTAAGGTCCCCCCTAAGGATGCAAGGCCCTCTCAAAGCGCTCAGCTGAAGAAAGGAGATGTTTTCCACTGACATGAGTTTGTAACTACGGGCATCAGGGAAGGAGATGCAAACCACAAAACCTCTTTTTCCCTAGGTTCAGTAAAGTATAGTCAACAAGCTCTCGGCTTCTTTTGTGTAAGTGCCTTTTTGTGTAAGACTTCACTGAAAATGTTTTAAGTCACTTCTAAAGATGCCTCTTCTCAACAGAACCATCAGGTGTCCAGGCTCTCATTTATCTTCAACTTAATGAAATGAGAATGTATTATATTTTGTATTAAATCCTAGCCAAACACATGCTTCCACCAGCTGCGGTAATACAGAAAATATGATCCCTGCATCTTAGCTAAAGCTTTACCTCACAACTCAAAGAAACAAAATCAGGACTACATTGTTCCTACCAGTAACGTTTCCTGTAACTTACAGTTCAGAATAGTAATTGCAGCAGCAACAGGCCAAGAAATTGGAGTAGGATGGCCAACTAAATAGTAGGCCTGCAGGCTGTAGACAAACGGAACCCACACCAGATCTCCGAATGCTAGCATGAATCCAAATCCATCATGGGTAATATCCATTGTAGTCAAAATAGCCTCCTAGAAACAGAGAGGAAGGAATTTAGAATTTACAAAGTTTCGTTCGTTTAACACTGTAATGAAAAATGGTAAGAGTTTAATACGATCATCATTTACCTCATTCCAAAGAGCATCCACCACATAGAGAAGCTGAAAGCTGTTCACAAGTACCATTGACAGAGACGGCGTGCTTTGATTGTTTATCTTCATCTCAGCCAGAAGCATTGCCAAGTTTATAACCACCTAGTTTAGAAACATTTTATTACAGATTTTCCTTTTAAAAGACAGGGGTCTTCTCTGTTACATCACAGGACATTTTAATACAAACATTTTTCACCAATATTTAAGTTCAGAAAAAAATAAAACCCTGTTTCACAAGCAACAGTTTGCAACTAACTACTTTTCTGAGGCTGTAGCCCTCAGCATATGAATACTGCAAGGAGGGTCTTCATTTCCCACAGAGCAAAGAGGCTAGAGTGTAGAAATTGTCCTAAGGTGAATAAAAATGGTCATTAAAAATTTGTCAACAGGAAACTGTAAGTACTTTTTCCCCGTTTATAAATTCTTACTGTATCCATAATAGCCAATTATAAAAATAATTGCATAATATTTATGCAAATAAAATAAAACCATCGAAGATTACTGACTCACCCAGCCAATTAATCCTGGACGCAACTCACAGAAGTATTTGAGATCAAAACTGCCAATACGGGGGTTTAATTCATGTCCAGTGAAAAAATCATAAACCAAATACCCTGCAGAGAAGACAGGCTCTTTGTTAGCAACACTCTGCTTTTATCCTCCACTACACTCCCTATAGAGCAGTTCCGACTTTCTACTAACATTCTCTCATTATATGTACAAAAGCATTTAGGTTGGCAGGAAAAATGTGAGAGTGTATGTAAAAGAAAAAACAAAACCCAAATTAAGAGGCCCAAGTTTATTTATTAGGAGGACTGAAGACTATAGTTACTTCTGAAGTGTAATTTCTTCTTGACTTTCAGCTTTCTCCTGAAGGTCACATCACAGTTTCCACAATCATGATCTTATAGTACTAATTAATTCTACTTTTCCTCCTACCGCATTGCTCTTCTCTGAGAGCAAGAATTCCTTTAGCTGTGACAACCACGGACCAGGAAAGAAAATACAATACCTTGACTGCAAGATAGCCTACACAGAGTTAGTAAGTAGCAAGCACTTTGCAGAACAGCTACAGAATGCTACTATGCCACCTACAGCAACTAGAAAGGCACTTCTCAAAGAAAAAGCAATTTATGATCATTGTATTACTCCCCTTCACACACATTCACACTGCATTGACCAAAAACCCCACAGAAGCTATCTGAATGATGCATTTCAATACACTGAATGTTCTGTCCATTAACCCCCTTTCTTAACCATCCTATGATCACTTGTAAAAGCAGTCTGTTTGACATTCAATGCTGATCGACTTCTCGGTCTATCCTTTGTGCTACAGAAAGATGTGCAGGTAACTGACCCTTGTTAGGCAGCTGTCTTACAATTGATAAATAAACAAACATTTAGCAAGACACCTTAATTCAAGTTCTGTACCTGACTCCCCACTGCCAACATGCCTAGGCTTCTCAGTTTTTCTTCCCATCCCCAGCTATTTCAGGAAAGGCCCACTGGTGGGAGCAGTGTGAAGCAAACTAGCCAAGCCCCTTAGACAAAGGCTGGAAACTGTAGGAACTGTCCTCTCACGGCCAGGGGACTCGACCAGCCAAGACACTGTTGTGCACACCACGTAAGACAGTCCAACTAAGATTTTAAGCATCTTGCAGTACCTGCGCACGAACAAACTTGTGACATTAACTTTACATTGGTAGAAAGTGGAAGTCACGGTATTGCAATACCCAGCCCTAAATCTAGCCTTCAATTCCAAAAAATGAAACTGTAGCAAACCATTGGAAAGAAATTATCCAAAATATTTGTAACTCACCAGAATTTCCACCAGGTGCTAGGTCTTCCTCAGGTGCTTTCAGGGACCGAATGTACAGATAAATGCTCAACACCATAGAAAAGGCTGCAGCTGATACTGCAAAATGCATGAAGTGATCATACACGTAATGAAGTTCACACTGGAAGAATAATAAAGTTCCAATAGCTGCAGCAGTCAGAAGAAACGCATAAAACCCTAAGGGACATAGAAGAAAAACGTATTAGCCAACATAGAAACAAACATTCTCAATACAGCCTACCTAGTCCAGACTTTCTGCATTTTTACTTCTTCCAACATTTGTCTATATCCCAATCATGTCTCTCAAATCCCATGCTCCCGAGGTTCAAACTTCTGGGGCACAGCAATAGAAGACGACGTATCTAGGCCCCGAAATTTCCTGTGCTCCCCATCAAAAGGTCAAGAGGCAGGAACATTCTGTGCACTCCTAAATTTTTTACAACGCAGGATCCAATTTCAGATTCTAGTGCAAAAATGGAGAGTGACACTACTACTGGGTAATGTCAGCAGGTCACAAAATCTTATCTGTAGGACGACTCAAAAAATACCATTTTCTTCAAGTATTTATCTTCATATGTACCTTGCTACAGACACCAGTATTTAAAGTATTAACTGTCGAGTCAAAACTGGAACCCAAAACATTTGTAGTTTGAGAGTATACATGTGCAGTGGAATGATGTCCAAATACACGCAAAGGGAATGATGTCCAAGCAGGCAGCTGTCACCCAAGTGCCTTCTGTGAACCGCTTCACTGAGGGCTCCCAACACTGAGGTTAGAAGGCACCTCCGGAGCTCATCTACTCCAATCTCTGGCTCAAGCACAGCCACCCAGAGCCGGTTGCACAGGACCACGTCCCACATGGATTTTGAACATCTCCAAGGATGGAGACTCCACCACCACACCACTTTGGGCAACCTCTGCCAGTGCTCAGCCACCCTCACAGCAAAGGAAATGTTTTCTGATGTTCAGACAGAACCTCCTGTATCTCACTATGTGCCCACTGCCTCTTGGCTTGTCACTGGTCTTCTTTCTTTCCTCAAGAGGCTTTCAAATTTGCTTTGAGAATTAATTAGCCTTTGAAGCAGCAAGAAGATAGCTTCTCTAGCATATAAACCATGCAGCTTATTTCCTCCCTTTATCAGATACAGAAGAAAATTGCAGGACTGTCACTACTAAAGACAGAAGCCCAAAACCAAGAGAGTTATGAAGCAGCCTCAATATGACTCACTTCCACATGATGCAATTCACTCTGCTTCTGTGATTTACAGCCCTATTCCAACTTTAAAATGGTGCGTCTTACCAAACTAGGACAAAACCCCACTCTACTTTTCAATAAAACATTTGGATTCTACTCCAACCAGACTAATTAATCAAATAGGTGGTCTGGGATACCTGCAAGGCATCGAGGGACGCTTTTCCTCTTAAGCCTGAAAAAGCAGAACTGCTGAAATACGTTAAGCCATACTCTGAACCTAGATGATAAACCTGCCTTATTCATAGGAAGTGAAATCAGATCCAAATAAGGACAGGCAAGAGTAAGAGCATCTTCAGTCAATTACAACACACTTACTAGTCTGTAAATCAGAGACATCCAAGATGATCTAGACACATGGGATAAGATCTTTTCAGATCACTCCTGAGCATCTCCTTTGGAGCAACAGTCCTTGTTACATGAGCATTACTAACCCTTCACATAGGCAACTGCCTGCTTAGCAATTATGCAAGGAGTAAAACTGGAGTCACCAGTGGCAACTGGAGGCAGGCCAGATGCCCGTATAGCACAATACCTTCCTTGTAGGGCAGTTAGTTCCTGGTCATTACTAACCACCTTTTTCCCAGAAAAGGCTCATCCTATTTTATGGAAGATTTACAACAGACACTCAGTTTGACCAGAGGGTGTATCTTTCATAATTTGTGTGTTATGGTACTGAGCACTGCAAATCAGACACTGGTGTCACATTTCAGAAGAAGCAACTGAAACATGCTTACCATTTATCCGGTACTGCAGTTTCCTTCCATCTGGAAGAGGCAGGCCTTCTACAACCTAGGAAGAATAAAATACAACTGTTCCTACAAGTACTTTCTGGGAGCACTGGCAGGGTAGGGAAATGAGGGACATCTCTGCCAAAGACATTCAGTCAAGGCAACCAGCTGGACATGTTCCAATCTGAAGACAGTTCTCAAAAACATATGTTGGATATCAAAAGAAAAAGGGTAACAGTTTCAAATAAAAACATTAAAAAGAAAAATCACTTCCTAGCCAGCCTCAAGAAAACAGAACAGCTCCAACAAATCAATCAATTGAATCAAGCAAACTACATCCATGCTTTGATTTGAACTCCTATATAATGCCTTCTGCCTTTTCTACCGTGAGACTGTTAAATGCACAGCTATTCAATTTTTAACAAACGGTGCTATTTTAAGCTTACAGAAATCTGCAGTAGCCATATTCCAGCTTAATACGGAAAACTACTCCATCTGCTTTCAAATTCACTGCACTAAGAACCTGCCCTACCTTCCAGCCCAAAGTACACATTAATTCGCCATAAAAACCCGATTGCTACTGAACAGCTTACCTTCCCAACTGGCAGTAAGTAAAACAGAGCTTGCAGGAAAAACCACAGAAGAAAAACACCAAACACCCTGGTCTCCCAAAGACTTTCAAGTGCTGGTAGAGGAGGAGGGAAGTTCATAAAACTGGGGTCATCTTGTTTGCACATCAACAGCAAGTAGAATACAGTAGCAGGCAGGAAAAATATCAGCATGAAGGTCCCTGCACACAGACATGATGCCATATTAGAAGATAAACACAGAAAATTTAAACAAATAGTTTCAATCCCACTAATAAATATCAGTATTTAGTATAAAGAAGAGGTGGTCATTATCTGTTCCTGAAGCAAGACAGTGGCAACCCCCCAGCCACGTAATGGGATACAGAGACATTCTTCTCACTCCCATACGGGGTCATATAACCAAACCAAAGGATCACACTCACTGCATCCCTTTAAAGTACACAGGTTTTTGAACAGCTTTACTGTCAAGTTCAAAGCACCTAGGTTTTTAAAATGTAAAAACTTTGCTAGTTACTGCTTAATTTGCAAATACCTAAATCTCACTGTGTGAGGGAAGGCTCAAGATCTTATTAACATTTCACAAGAGAACCAAGTGTCATAAGGGTTCTTTGACTTCCACCAATACCAGTACAGATGACGTGAAGCACTGTCATGTGACTCTGGATGCTGCAGCCAGGGTCCAAAAATTGGAAAAACAGCTCTTCACATGACAGTGATAAGTCAATAAGGAAAAAGACGCAAGTACCCATTTTCAATGATTATGACGATTTGCAGACATACCAATTCTTCCACCAAACTCTAGATCCTTTGTTTTCGATGGTACTTTCTCAACTGCTTTTATTGTCTCAAATATCTTTTTCTCTGAATATATCTCTTCTTTTTTCTTTTCTTCTTTTCTTGGACGCAAGCTGTACTGTTCAAGCACACGCTCTGTTTCCAGGTCTGGTTTCAACTTTTGCTGTTAATGAATCAAAAGAACTTACTAAAAATATTCCCAGTGATTTTACCTTGTTTTACTCCAATATTTGATATTTAGGAGGACACCATTCACTACCAAACACCAATGTACAACGTGCTCTACTCCCATACACTACTTAAGTTTATGCATCTGTACAAGGAGCCTGCTAAAACCAGTTTCACTGTGATCACTTAAGGCCATGATCAGCAGCAGTTCCAGTACAGGTCACCCATTCCCACCCTCCTCCCCTCCTTTCTGCCACAACTCCGGGCATTAGCTAACAGTCAGGAATAAAGAACTGATTTGCCTAAAATAAAAAACATAAATTAATTTAAAAAAAATCACTTCCTATAGCCAAACATTCCCACTGTAAAAGCAGAGGAATGAACACAAATAACCAGTGCGGGTCTGATGGAAAGAAACAAACAAGAATAATTGTTATGCAGCTCTAGTCTCTTCCCTTCTGACTTCATCTCCTTCTCCGTTGAAGTAAGTTAGCTGAACAGTAAACTTATTTCACCTCTAAGTTTTATGTTGCATTCTATTTCTCCTTGATTACTGTACTGGCCTTTTCTGGGTATTTCTGAGGAAGCTAACTTAGAATGAGACATAAAACTACAGTAAATACAATGTTCATACCTCTGAGATTATGTGTGATGTGTCATTTCTTTCTGTACTATCAGGTTCACCATTGTACGTGCTGGTGTTATTCTCACTTGGTTTCTGGTTAAAAGAAAAAAAACATAGTTTTAGCTTTCTGAAAATAACATCTGCATTAAGTGTACATATATCATGAACAACCAAGAAAACTATCTCTTTTTTGCAATTGCAACTGCTCCAGTTTTCTTCACAGGGAAACAAGGGGGTTCAATATCCAAAGCATGGGCAGTTTCAGCTCAAAAACAAGGGAAGAAAACCCACTTAGGAAAAGGTTACTAATTTTTTTTAATTAACAGTGAGATTCAGAGAGAACACAGCTTCCAAGTTAACTAATCATTAGGAACTGCCAAGTACAAAATACATGTCTATTTAACAATCCTAGTAGGAAAGCCAAGGAAACTTCAGTGTCCTATATATGATACAGCTCCATGGGACTGAAAGTTGGGTTTTTCCATTAAACGCCATTCTAAGAGATAAATTCTCTTTCAAAATTCTTCTAATGAGTCTAGCATAGAGAACTCTGGGAAGACACAACTTAACTGATTTGGTTTATTTCAACTGAAGCTTTGTTGTAAAGGACCAGCTCATTCCAGTCCTACAACAACCAACAGCTCTTAAGTCTACTCATCAATTGGAAGCCAGAAGAAAACCACCACAGATATCTTCCCCTTTTTGTCCAAAGTGAAGTGTAGGTACTTGTGCTGGTTCCAGCCCACGGGATTTTATTTCATTCCATAAAACATCAAGCTGAGTGGTCAGTGCCACCCCCAAACACAGCAGGGCAGGGAGTTTGCAAAGCGCAGAAGGGGGCCGCGAGGCGCGACCCAGGTTTAGTGGGGGTCAGCTAGGAGGTTCCTGGCAGCAGCGCGGTCTTGGTTCAGACCTTGTGATGGGCAATTAGCAGAGGAGTGTCTTTTGTCAGGGAATTGATCTGGGAGGGGTGTTAGGAGTTTCCTTCTCCTTGCTCTCGGCTCCTGGGCTGAGGGAGGGGGGTTTTTCCTCTCTGCTTTTGGATTGGTGCTTGGTTTTTTTTCCTATCCACTTTGATTTTTGCCTTGCCATTTCAGAACCTGGCTGTATCATTCCACAGGTGGTGAGAACCTGTATCATTTGTTCTATTTTTCTGTTCTTTTAATTACTTACTAGCAGTAGTATTGTTAGTAATTCCATAAGTTTCTTTTTCCTCCGACCCTTCCTCACTGGGA